GCTCGCGGTAGCTCGCGGTAGTCAAGACACGCTCCATTGAGTAAATCTTGCTATAGCTGATTACCGCAGTTGGCCTTGCTACCGCAGGAAAATCTCCTTTACCGCGGTAGGATAATTTGGCGACGCTCCCTAATATAAAAAGATATATGTAATTTAAAGTAATGTATTATTTTAGCGTGAAATAAGATTCCTTTTGGGAAATTATAATCATTCCAGCCTATCGATCGTAGTGAGTCCAGCGGACATACACGCTACCCATCGTGCTATCACTACAATTACGGATGCGATCGGCCTACAACAAAATTACATTAATAAACAAACTCTTTAAAACAAACGATTCCTAGTTAATAATAAAACTTAAAAATAACTTGCCACTTGCGGTTTACATCTAAGTTACAGGCGATGTTCTCAAGAAAGGCAAATCATAGAAATTGAAGGCTCACAAAGGTGTAAAATATTTCAATAGGCGACACATCTTAACGTAGCAAGCGGTCCAAGAAAAGAGAACAATGACCCAAGCGCTAACATTCTCTGACGCTATTCGTAGGAGAACTTAATCCGCTAAGTAAATACTTGATCTAATTACGTTATAAATGTCATAAAAATGGGACTCATTGATTAATAATTAATTGTAATAAAAAATGTGATAAATTAAATCAACCAAGAAGTAACATAGTATGTAGAAATACTGTATAAAAATAATCTGCACTTTATTTTCTTGGGTATTTATACAATGGTAGTGCTGAAATGTAACTTTATCTATTGTTACGTAATAACTAGTGGACTGTACTAATTGTACCCTCACACTAGGCCTATCAAAGTTTCTCTTTCAGGGTCGTTAATTAGTGCCTACAATGTGTCTAAAGCTCCCTTAAAAGGTAACAGGTTTGCCTCACCAAACCCAAGCAGGCACAAAGTTGGTTTAAGCTGGTGCACTTCGGCAAAGTTACGCGACCCCTTGTTGTGATGGATTGCGTGTGGATTTGCAATTTGAGGCCATCACAACCACGCCAGGCTCAAAGTAAGGCAGTGTTACACGCTGGCCTAAATAAAATCTGCCATATGCTTGCGCACGGCTCTCCACAGCGGAATGTTTACCTCACATTTTTGCTAGCCATTGGCATTAGGCCGGTGTAGAAAGATGTATTGTATCCTTCTCTACAGTAGCTCCTCCGAATGGAGAGGCGTATACTGTATTGTTGTTGAAAATTTAACATTAATTTAAAACAAATCTGAAATCTGCTTTTATTCGTTATAAAATAATTATAACGTGGGAAATAACTGATTAAAATGCGCTGTTATCTTTTACTCAAGCAAATCTCAATTCTCAAGAGCAAGGCTTGCATGATCAACCACACGTGGGTGCGAGTATTAGGCGATTTGGAACCGTTCATTTTCCAACAGGGTATAATTTGTTTTTTAGTACGACGCTTGTAGATTTGAGAAATTAATGTCGAAAATATTTAATCCCAACTTGATGGCGTGCATTTTAATACTTATTATACTGTACTATCTTAAAGGCATGTTGTACGAGAAATTTTCACCGAGTATACAATGGACTTGTTTCCGGGCTTGTTTATTCAATATTCCAGCCAATTACAGTATAAAATAACTAGTTTCATGCATGAAATCCAAGAAATTCAAATAATAAAGGTTATTAATAAAGGTTAGAGTTGCTAATCTTACAATACAGACATTTTATGCCATTCAACTTAACAAACTTGAAGGCTAGCTGTGCACCAAGAGTTACTACAGCTAGTATTTACAGACTATATGAATGCGAATTTGTGTTGTAAACATACTGTGAACCAGCGTCTAGAAAAGTAAAATGTACGATAAATAAATTAAATATTTAAGATTCATCGTTATTACAATATAGAAATTCACTGCCTCAAATATTGTTAATTTCTTAATTGAAATTTCTAAACAAATGAACCAATTTGGGATTTGGGAGTTTTTCAAGCTCGTTACAAATAAAAATACTGTTTTTGAAATGATATATCTTAACAGTAGTATTATTGTGAAGTGTGTAAATTGCTTCCTCGTTTTGCATCCCCTTCCAGACCCGGTGAGGAGATCTAGTAAGCACTGTTAACTACTGATTTTAATCAATGTAATCCTTGGCGGCCTGCTGAGTTTATCAGGGATTAGTAGATCTTGTTTGTTACGTAACACCTGGAGTTTGGCCTTAAACTCCGGGTGTATTGGCAAAAAAGCTCTAAGGAGTTGTATACGTAATGTATAGTTCATATTAAAATATGAATGAAACACCGTATAAATTTGTTACTGTACTTGTTTAATTTGTAGTTTGTGGATTGAAACACCTTAAATTATAAATGAACTATTCCAAAACAATTATGTGCTTGACCCACAGTGAAGCACATATAGTGCACGTCGGCTCATCGTTGGCAGCGTATTCAGTGAATTGCACTACTTGTAAAATGTTAAAATCGTAATGGAAAAATTATTATACTGTATGTTGCAATCAAAGTTAGTGAGGGGAATGTTCCTATCCCTCCACCTCCTCCCCCTCTTTCATCCACTGTTGTCAACTATTTGTCTTAAAAATCCCACTTTATTATTATTGTTATTGTTATTATTAAAAATTACAACCTTGTCTTTTTCAGATATCATTGAGGATATTTACCCACAAAGGCTTTCACCTGTGAAAATAGAATACTCAAACCTGCATGAATTGCAGAGGCTAGTTGTTCTACAACTAGAGGTACAGGCTTTGGAAGTTGAACACCAAATACAGAAGGTAACACAAGACATTTTTTTTTCCTTGTCTTGTAAATATTATTTTTTGAAAGAATTTCAAAGCTTCAAAAAATATTAAATTAATAGCGTCCAACTAGAAACAGATCGAAAAAAAGTACTGTTAACTGATTTACAAACATTTTACTATAAAAATCCAAAAATTTATTCAGTCAATATGGCACCATTCCAATGGAACGATTGATTGATTGATTGTAGGCATGTTAAATTTTGTGTCAGAAATACAAGGTATTTGTATATCTTAGAAACCAATTTTCTTAAATTTCAGAACCAAACATATATTAATTGTGGCTTCTGTATACCATATACTAAATTCAATGCCTTATTATTACATAGTTTTCAGTGTATAATCTAAAAAGATTTCAATAAAGCTGATCCAAGGGTAGGAGAAAGTCGCTCTCAAATGTGAGATTGTGCAGTTGTAAGATTGGAAAAGGAAATTTTTATTCAAGATCTTCTTGTGTTTTCTTTATAGTTATTATCAGAAGAGATGTTGCCAATTCTTGCAGCAATGGACAAGGAAGATCCAGGATTTATGCAGTGTTATCGTTCCTTGTATGGACTCCTGTGCTATAGTGGAGAACATTTCCCAACGATCATTGTTGATGTCGATGATTAGTTCAGGAATGCCATACTACTATACTTAAGGATTTGAAATTGTCTTTTAAATATATATATATTTTATTAATTTTGAAGTTTGGCTTGTTGCATTCAGGGTGTAAGGTAAAAATGGCCCCGGTAAAAATGGCCTCAAATTACAGGTAGGTAAAATTGGCCCCAATAATAAAATTCTGTATTAAAACTGATTTTCTTAAAATCATTATATGCAAAAAAAAAAAGCCATGAATAAAACTTTTTATTTTTTTTCCATTTAAATGTTAAAAAATAGCAACTACATAATCAATAAATCAACATAAATCATGCATTTAAAATACTGAAATAATTTATTTGTGGCCAATTTCATGGAAGCGGAATCACAATTTTCCAGAAATTTAATCCGGGTATTGGTAAACCATTATAAATACTAAATTGCACATAAAGTTGTATTGTATTGCAAGTACACACACAAGCACACCCTGTTTGTTCCAATTACTTATTGTTAGTTAGAAATGGTTACTTATTGCAAATAAACTAAATATAGGTGACATACAGTAGAATAGAACTAATTTGAAATTTGCACATTAATTATAATCCTGCATTCACATCATGATTACATATATGTTTCTGAAATAAAGTCAAAGAAAATTGTTTTTAATTTTTTATTTTACAGAAAGATATCGGTGTTCTATAATGAATTCAGCAGACTTTGACTTTTTTTTCATTTGGATAGTGATTGCACATTGATTATAATTCTAAATTTACATCATGATTACATATACGTTTCTGAAATAAAGTCAAACAGAAAATTGTTTTTGATTTTTTTAACCAGAAAGATATCGGTGTTCTATACTGAATTCAACAGACCTTTTTTTTTTATTTGGATAGTATTTTACAAAACAGGACTTAATTTAAACCACAGACAATTCAAAATACAAAAATACATTATTATACAAAATTTTGAAAAAATTATTAGTACAGCACATAAATCTCGGTTGCATATCAAAATATGAATATATTTATAGTATAATAGGAAAACCACAATACATACACAATATAGAATTTAGATTGTTGAATAATTTTCACTACAGAAAATATATATACTGTAGTACAGATGCTTTTTGTGTAATTGTGAGTTTGTAGAAGTAAAGGTTTGGATACAAATTACATACACAGTTCAGACATAATCTGCATACAACGTTGTTTCGTCCTTTAAGGACTCATCAGTGCAGCTCAGATAAATTTGAGATTGAACCTTAGCTATGAAACAAGCAAGCTTGTAACAAGGCAGTTTAAAAGCACTCGTAATACCATGCCAAGAGTGCTCAAACTACATATAGTAGTGGGCCAGCTAAATGAAAACAGCAATGGTACTATCTCAATAGTGTGCTCAACAAAACAAATGTTAAGGAGCTATAATAAGTTAAATCAATCTGCATACAACGTTGTTTCGTCCTTTAAGGACTCATCAGTGCTGCTCAGATAAATTTGAGATTGAACCTTAGCTATGAAACAAGCAAGCTTGTAACAAGCCAGTTTAAAAGCGCTCGTAATACCATGCCAAGAGTGCTCAAACTACATATAGTAGTGGGCCAGCTAAATGCAAAACAGCAATGGTACTTTCTCAATAGAGTGCTCAACAAAACAAATGTTAAGGAGCTTTAATAAGTTAAATCAATCTGCATACAACGTTGTTTCGTCCTTTAAGTAC